CTTAGWGTTGTGGAGACCAGTATAGCAGTAGTAGTCTCACCACTGCATTCAAGTAACAGTYTTGAATTCCACCAAATAACAGGCTTGACATAAAGAGGGTTTTCATGAAAAACGTCTTGCTGTGATTTCAGCCATCACAGGAGGGGTGTACGCCCATGGCGAGTGCATGCTTGGAGTATTCTTTCTGTGCACAATCCTGGTATCTTAGGGCGAGGCTTGAGGATGTGCTTCTGCAAACTATCCTTTAGGTGTAGTAGAGATAGCTTTCCTGCTAGGGAGCATAACAGCATGGTAAGAATGCCATGAAGGTCAACTTGAATAATAGAGCAGAAATAAAATTGCAGGGAAAGCATTCTATGAAGAGACCTATAATTCTTCCATTCTGTTTATTTGACATATAACCTGTTCTTCTTTCAAGAGATTAGAGACATTTGAATATGGTCCCGATGGTGGTTTCTGATTCAAAGGACTTAAAAGGCCCAACTTGCATAGCTTTAGTTCTCCAGCTCTCCAAGGCTCCTTCAGGTTTTCTACTTGTTAAGATGAGAAACAGTCTATTTTTAAAAACAAACTGTTAAACTTACAAAACACTACAATGCCACATTATGATTCTTAGGGTAATAACTTCATAACATACTTCCTTGATTTCAAATCAGAAATCCACTAGGCTTTCCACTTCTGTGGTTATTACACATACACGACCCACATGAAAGTGGGGAAAATGTGAACAAAAAACCAACTTTTAAAAACCCAAGACAACACCTGAGGCCAGTCTCCACTGTCATATAATCCAGTTTCTGAATCCAGATTATCTGATTTGAGTCGAATTATATGGCAGTGTAGATTCATATAATCCAGTTCAATACATAATATGAAATCAGAAACTGGATTATATAGTAATGTAGGCCCAGCCTAAGAATCTCTAGGGACCTCATCACATGAAGGTGGGCAGTGGGGGAATCCTTAGGGTAGCAGAGCAAATGGTGGGGCAATGAGGTGAATCGGTCACCCAGCACTCTGTATTGCTTGCATCTCCCGCTTGTCCATCACATGCCGAAAAGATTATTTTATTTACGATATTTTAATCTCGCCTTTCTCCACAGTGGACCCAAGGCAGCTTACACATTAAAAACATACAAAAGTTAAAATATATTTTAAAATAGATTTAAAACTAGCCATCCCCTGCCACGCGTTGCTGTGGCCCACATGGGGGTTCTGTGTAGGAGGTTTGGTCCAATTTTATCGTTGGTGGGATTCAGAATGCTCTATGATTGTAGGTGAACTATAAATCCCAGCAAATACAACTCCCGAATGTCAAGTTTCTATTTTTCTCAAACTCTACCAGTGTTCATATTTGGACATATTGAGTATTCGTGTAGGGTTTGGTCCAGATCCATCATTGTTTGAGTCCACAGTGATCTTGGGATGTAGGTGAACTACAACTCCAAAACCAAAGGACATGGCCCACCAAACCCTTCCAGTAGTTTCTGTTGGTCATGAGAGTTCTGCGTGCCAAGTTTGGTTCAATTCCATCGTTGGTGGGGTTCAGAATGCTTTTTGATTGTAGGTGAACTATAAATCCCAGCAACTACAACTCCCAAATGACAAAGTCAATTTTTTTTAGTAAAGGACATACAATTGGGTTGGTGCCAATTTGTCCAGTGGTTTTTGAGTTCTGTTAATCCCACAAACGAACATTACATTTTTATTTGTATAGATCACATTTTTAATATAAGCACTTAACCCCTACTCTGTATAAAAGTCCTTCAACATACATGAATTTTACCTTAGTGCACCTTTCTGGCATGATCCTGTGCTGTCCTCATGATTTCCTATCTGAGTACGGATAGTCTCTCATGTTCAGAATTCCCTCTTTGCCAATGCAGACATCACAGAGCCCACTGGAATTAGCTGTGCATCATGTGATGAGATCCAACAGGTTTCGTCCTGTCTGCGTGGGCAAAGTGTTCTATGATTGGGGATTTTCCCCATGTTATGAGGTACCTAGTCCTCCAGCATGACTCTAAGATCAACCTTTGGAGATTCGTCATCAAATTGCACTAGAGACCTAGAGATTTCTAGAGAATTTTTTTAAATAAAATCTGCAAATAATCCAATTCACAAATGTTGAACCTAGAAATGTGTAGTCCTGATTGTTTTTCTTAATATTTATATGAAGAATGGAATTTGGTGTGCTTTCCCTATTGTATTATGTTTTAATAGCTCCAGAAGCAAAATACCTGGTACTTTCTGGTGTTCTACTATCTGTGGGAGATTGGTAGCTATATGTTCAAACTAAATTTGCACTGATAACTTTTCAGACTTAAAATAAATCAGTTGAATGCATTGTGTCCCAATCTCCTAAACAAAGTTTAAGGAAAACCCACACAAAGGTACTGGGTTTTACAGTTCAAAGCAGATAATCTGGATTTTATATGGCAGTATGGAAGGGGCCTTGGACATGGAAACTCACTGGGCAATCTTAAATAAGACACACTCAGATTTAAAGAGAAACTGCCTTTGAGCAAACCTTTCCAAGAAAATTCTGTGATGAGGGTCACCTTGGGTCGCCATAAGTCAGAAAGCACTTGAAAACTCATAGTAGCAATCCATAAACCCTTATTTGCTTCATGTGGGTTCAGAGTCTTTTGAATGAAACAGTGCAACCATAATATTGGAAATTACCTTACTTCAAAGCTAGATATAAGGGTGGCTGCAAAAAAAATACTACTTCATTTGTATGTTGTTCTCTACCCAACTGTCAACAAAGATTTGTTTTGTGCACGGCTCACAAGTAGCATACTGAAACCCAGTTTGTGTAAGATTGCACATAGAGCTTTTTTCAACTAATTTTGGTGGGATTTAAAATCAATTTGTCTTAAATGATAACACATCCAACAGGGGAGACACCTTAGTCTGTTTTAGGGTCCAATCACACCACATTGCTATAGCACTATTATTCCATTTTAATGACCATGGAAACATCATATAACAATTGGGTTATTGTACATCTGTAAGACAGTTATACCAATGACAAAAAGGACAATACAGGCCTATGTGGCTGTTGCGATAGGAAAGCTTTTCTTAGAACCCGTCTAGTATGTATCTGTAAACAGAATTCAGGACAGAAATAGGAAATGGAAAGTGTTGTGAGATAATTCAACACAGATGGCATCATGTTCAGCTTGTCTTTTTTCCCTTCCCACTCTCCCTCCCTCCCGCCCTTCCTAATTTAGAAGCATAATGTCTCAGAATCAAGAATCAATAACCTATCTCAGGAAAAAAAAATGAGATAATGTGCCTGCATGAATTCAGGTCTTCAGGGGTGTTCTTAACACGATACTCATAATTAAACACCATAGCTAAAGTCAAGGCATTTTAGATCTTATTGATTGAAATGGAATTGCCTATGTTTCCCCATTAGAGGTGGTGGGGATTCAATGGGTGACAAACTGGTTTCATGTTCCACCATTCTAGTTGTATGGGAGTGAATTTTGGAATTGTTTTGAAGTGTCTTTAAAATAAGGTTGCCTAAGTGAAAACTAAAGAGGGTTTATCAGCGTCATAGGTTATCACTCGTGGCTGAGTATGATTGTCTTCCAAGGGTAGAGTCTTTGCAGTGGGTCCATAAGTGACTGTTAAGATCTATTCTGGATCCATATGGGTTTTCAAAGTGGGCACATACATTTTAATGGTGGTATAGAAGAGAGAATACCAGCAGGTTGGTTATAACCTGGTTATATAGTATCCTTAGGGTCACCATAAATCAGAAATGACTTGAAGGCACACAAAACCATGCTAAGCACACCATATTCCTATAAAAGATAGCACAATCCCATGCAGACTTTTAAAAGCAAACATCCTCTCTTATTGTGCTCTTACAATAATTCAGTGCTGTCTTCCTCTTGAGTCTAACAACAATGACTGCTTCTTCTCCTCCACTTTATTTCTATCCCACCTTTCTTCCCACAGGGACTCAAGGCAGCTAAGAAGAAGAAAAATAAAATTTAAAATAACAGATACAAAAATAAAAAGTAAACATTTATGGGTGGGCACAAAAGGTAAAATACAGTTAAAATACAAGAGATACCATTGAAAGTTCAACATCCCACCCATAACATCTCCAGCATTGTGCCTCTCATTCTTCTCCAAATGCCTGCTGGCACAGAAAGGCCTTTTTCTGCTTGTAGAAGGCAAGCAGGATGGGGCCCTCCTGGTCTTTCTTGGGAGGGAATGCCAAAGTTTGGGAGTAGTTACCAAAAGGGCCCTCTCCCTTGTTCCCACCAAATGCACTTGATGGTGGGACAAAGAGAAGGCCCACTCCATATGAATGTAAATTTCTAAAATGTTCGTAGAAAGAGATATGGTCTTTCAAATAACCATACCCCCATCACCACAGAATGAGACTTTCAAGAGTATCCCAAAAGAGACAACATGCAGTTGGGGTACATATCATTTAACAGTATAGAAGACCCTAAATCTATGCATGAGAAATAAGGACATGGAGCAGTGGAAATATGTGGTAGTCAGAGAAGTTTGCTATCTCAAGCATGTCCTGTCAGCATGACGAAGGAAATTGTGTATCGCACAAATTATGTGGGAATCATCTTTGAAGGTCCTTTGTCAAAAGTAAATGTCAATAGTAAACTGTGTAATGCAGTTTAAATCTGTGTAATGAGGTTTAAATCTCACACTAAGTAAGCTGTGCTACCAGGGTTGTACCAATGAATAAATGGATATGCTGTCTTAATGCAAATTTAAAAATATATACATGTGAGAATGAGCTTGCCATAACTATGGAAAGAATTAATTTTAAAAAGTTAAATAAATAATACGATATTATACAGTAGCATATACCAATAGTAGCCCCTCTCCCACCAATATCCTTCATTTTCCTATCCATCTATTCCTCTGTGTACCTATGACAATCCATCATGCAACATGTTCCTGATATTTCACACTCAGGCACTTAATTCAGTCCCTTACTATTTACTGTTTAGGCAAGACCAGAACAAAAGACAAGTATCGTGTTGTGTACACAGATCATCAACGTTTGGAACTAGAGAAGGAATTTCACTATAGCCGCTACATCACTATCCGGCGGAAAGCAGAGCTGGCAGCAACGCTAGGACTCACTGAGCGACAGGTTGGTGCTGCAAATACAATGCAACAGTTGCTGTATTTAGTTTGTTTTCTTTCCCTGCCCTGTCTTTGACAAACCCACTCGCTAATATGTTGAATCTTGCCTTCCTTCTTCCTTCTTCCAATTCCTTCTCATCCGTACATTTCTTGGTCACTGTATGCTTCATCACTCTCAACTTTTTCCACCTGAACAGCCTCATCTTGTCTCTCTGACTCCCTATCACCATCTTGTTCATGCTTATTTTACTTCTGCTTGGTTTCTCCTGCCTTTGTTTCTGCAGGTGAAGATATGGTTCCAGAATCGGAGAGCAAAGGAGAGGAAAGTGAACAAGAAGAAGATGCAGCAGCAGACTCAGCCTGCCAGTACAACCACTCCCACCCCACCAGCCGTTGGCACACCAGGCCCAATTGGAGGCATCTGCAGCAGTACCACCAACCTAGTTTCCTCATCTCCAATGACTATCAAGGAAGAATTTCTGCCTTAAATTGAGCCCTTCAGTTTGACCTGCAGATAAACTTACGTAGAAAAAAAGTATGGATTGATCCTGAGAACCAAACAAGTTGGCAGGTTTTGAGACTCAGCAAGATTGTGGTCATTGCTAAACCAATGAAATCATTTCCTTTACACCTAGTGTGTTATTTGGTACAATACCACTGGGAAAATATTATCATTAACTCATTCCTAAGGATGAAATTTTATTTTACTTAAAGAAGGGACGTGCTTGAATAGTTGGCCATGAGAGGAAACGGGAAGAAATAGAAAACCAGGTCTTACAAGAATTGTTCCAGCATCATGTCAAGCCTGGACGATAGTCAGCGTTCAGACCTGGGTCATAAGGGAAGAGCCAGGGTTGAGTTTGTGAAGAAAACCCTCCCCAACAAAGTTCCATCCATAAAGGAAACTTGGCTGGATCACACAAGAGCCCAAGCTTGAGTTGTTCTGGTATTTGTATGTTAGGAGCTAAAGTCAGTAAAATGAGTAGGTAAGAGCAAAACACATCAGAGAGGGTTAAAACCTGACTATATGCAAGGTATGAGGAGAGAGAAGTAGTCCTGAATCAGACTACAAAGCAGGTTGACATGCAGCATGGTTTTTTTTAAAGTGAAAATTAAGAATGTTTAATAGTCCATATATGACACATTGAATAGTGTTTTAGCAGTCTCAAGTACAAACATGGCTCACTTTCTGTAAGAGTTTGGAAATGTTACTTATTCAACTATTGCTTCCAGAATGTCATCTAGCCACAGCATGACAATTTCAAACTGGTTCCTAGAGGTGGAACACTAGAACTTAGGACAACTACCTAGTCATCCACAGGCTTCTGTTCACCCTTTTTGTTAGTATCATGGCTCTTCCAGGATGCTTAATATACTGAGGAGATTCCAACCCAACAAGTCCCATCCTGATTTATTCTATGGGTCTATACTTGCATTTTGATATATAGGCTTGCTTTCAAATAATTCAGATGAGCAATGATAATTTTCCAGCACGACCAATGTGCCATGATTCTAGGAACTGAAGTCCCAAACATCTGAAGGACCAAAGGCTGACAACTCCTACCTGGGGTGAGTGGGTGGGCAGGCTAGAAACATTAAAAATGCTTACAAGGGCTTCCTGCACACAGCCATTAAGTGCATGGTTAGCAATGCACTTATTGTGTCAACCGTACAAACAAACTAGAAATACACTTATGTGCACCATAGCATATAACTGATACTGGGAACATAGATCACACTACATGTGCCTTTTACCCACCCCCTGGCTTGCAGCAGCTTCCAGGGATCTGAGACAGAAATAATTCTTTCTATTACCTATTATCTCATGTTTTTAACTAGACATGCCTGGGCCAAACCTGGGTTATTTGGCATATAAAAATATGTTTTACCATGGAGCTACCAATGTCTTTTCTGCACACTGCTGTAATGGAGTCAGGACTTTCTAGGACACTGCCAAATGTTGCCTATTGCCCCACACCTTTTTAGACTTTTGTATTCTCTCTAAGTTTAGCTGAAATGTTCACAAAGAGGTGGTTAGTGGCTATTCAGTAGCTTCGGACTTATGCACCTAAATGGTTGAAAATGGGAAGGAATCATCAACACATAAATGAAGTGAGTGACCTTTTTTTTTTTAAGCATTACTCATAACTGGAAGGGACTGAAGTGGGAATTTGGAGCACACATGTCTTGTATTTTTGGCACTAACAGAAGCAAATAAAATCATTCAAGGGAAACTGAAATTTTCCCTTTTCATGTTGACTATGTCTCTTCCTTTGACTTGCCACAAAACTAATGAACCTTTCTCCATTTGAAAATAAGCCATTCAGTCTGCATGATTTGGTGTCAAATGTGATCTGTCAATCTAGAAAGCCAAAGCAGGGAGAGAGGGCTGAAGTTTATTTCTCTCTTGTTGAAGACCTTAACCATGTGGCTGAGCATCAAATCTTGATACTTCCAGCCCACACCTCTGATGCACATTTGGCTTTCTACTCCCTCTAAAAAGATATTTATTTTTCCTGACACTACCACCTATGGTACTTAGGGCCAAAATATTGATGTTTGCAATTATTAATGACTTGGGATATTTTTAAAACTAATATTTTAAGCCCCTTTGAAAATTGTTTTGATATATTAATTATTCTTTCATCTGTTCTTAAAATGTCAAAGGTTTGTGATTTCCACAGTATGAATTATTTGGAGGGCAGACAACCGACAAAAAAGATTAGTCTTCCATGTACAATGAAATCCATAGAACAGTGATACCTTTATTTGGTCAACTTAAAAATGCAAGATATTTTGAATGCAAGGAACCAAATCCTGTCTAAACTTGGAAGCTAAGCAGGATCAGCACTGGTTAGTACTTGGTTTGGGAACTGGGTTAATTGTAGGAGTTGTAGTCCCCCAAAGGGAACTTGTCCTGGACTCAAATTTGAGGTTGTCCTAGTTCATTATACCCACATCGCATCTCCATGAATCTGTGATGTTGAAACTACTACTGTACTTGGTGCTTCAAAATTCCTTTGCACAAAAGCATCCCCTCCATATTCCTACCTGGCCAAGGGATGGACCAAGGGAAGGGGGGAGATATTTTTAGCCAGGTTTGACCCTTCAGTAGCCTCACTCTCACAATTCTAACTAGAAGCTGGTGTTCCTTTGCACAGTGTTCTCCTGTCCAGCTTGAGTCTTTTTGAAATGGTTGATTCCAGTGTGATAATTTAAATGTTAAAAGTTTGTGGTTACCTAACCTGTTAATTCAGTATAAACTCAATTAGTACAATCCTTTTCTAGTTGTTCAGCTCTAGTCAACAGAGCTTTATGCAAATAGCACTATAAAGGGATTTGGTATGTTGGTTTGTTGCTACTATAGTCTTTGATCTGCTGTCTAGGGAGCCCCCGGTGGCGCAGTGGGTTAAACCACTGTGCCGGCAGGACTGAAGACCAACAGGTCGCAGGTTCGAATCTGGGGAGAGGCGGATGAGCTCCCTCTATCAGCTCCAGCTCCTCATATGGGGACATGAGAAAAGCCACCCACAAGGATGATAAAACATCAATTCATCCGGGTGTCCCCTGGGCAACGTCCTTGCAGATGGTCAATTCTCTCATACCAGAAGCGGCTTCCAGTTTCTCAAATCGCTCCTGACACAACAAAAAAAATATCTGCTGTCTCATTTATAGCCTTTTAAAATTGTAAACTTTTTTTCTCCCTTCACGGCTTTGATTTTCTGTTGCCTCTCAGAACTGAATTTGACTGATGTTAGAAGCTAGGAAAGATGTATTTCTCCAGATCTGCATGGAGAGTGGTGATGGTTTCTTGAGTGTTGATGGGAGAGTGTTGCTTCATGCTAAACATAACCACAGCTGTTAAACTAGAGAAGGGCTGGGTCTTAATCTCACTGTGTATCATTTATCTGACTTGTTGGAATTCTGATGCTAAACCTATCTTGGTCTGAAGCCATGTCTCCTGGGCGATGGATGCTTCTAGATGAAAGTCTACCACAGTGCTACCAATCAAAAAAACATTGCACTCTTGGTCAATTTCCCCTCCAAAGTTTTTTCTTTTTTCTTTTTTTGCAAGAAGAAAGACAGATGCACCAGAAAACATGGAAGGGTTACAAATGGAAGAAAATATAATCTGGACCCTCTGTAAAATTCCAGCTTTGACATAGGGTGGATTCAGGATGGAATCAGCATGAAGTAGAGCAGAGATGGGTTTTGGAGTAAAATTTGGCTTGTGGATGCACACTACTGTGAGAAATTTATTTGCTCATTCACTCTCTAAACTGGAAAAGTGGAATTCCAATTGGACAATGATGGAACAACCAAAACTTCCTTTGCAAAGCAAGGCACAATGTCTTGTTTTAGAGGACAGCTGTTGTTCCAGGAGTGGGCTGGTGGCTGAAAAAATGGGAAGGAGACTTCCAGAAATTTGCAGGCAATATCTTGCCTATGATACTGTCTATTTCCAATACAGTCACACCAAGGATCCTCTTTTAACATTACACCAGCCCTTTCCTAACCCTCTGATTCTATGGAGGATATCACATTAGAGTTCTAAGTTCAGATCCATGTTTCCCTATCACCTGGTTTGTTCCTTCAGAATTCTGGGAAATGTAGTTTAGGGCGGAGCCTTTGGAATTCTCAGCCAGAGAAGACCTTAGCTTCCCTTAAACTACATTTCCCAGAATTCTGCAGGAACAAACCGGGCAATAGGAAAACATAGACCTGCACTTTAGAACTCTAATATGATATCATCCTATGAACACAACATCCTTATGTTGGGCTAGAGAGGTAGATCATCTAGCCCAGAATAGTACCTTCATAGCTAAGAAAAAGCACCTGCTTTAGAGAAAATGAAGGTGGTTGGAAGGCTTATTCCTTTATTACTCATATTCTGGAATCAAAGACAGATCTACCTAAGAATGGACTTAATAATATTTGTCATGAGTGATGATTAATAAGGCAATTTCTTATAATTTTATGAAATCTATTTTTAAGGTAAATCACAAGTTCCACTCAACCTCATGTAGAAATAAGTTGCACAGCATCATTTCATATTGTGTTTAAAGTTATAGTATTGCATTTGCAATGTAGTTTCCTATGAATTTCACTGGATGCTAAATCTGGAAAAGAATTGTCTTTCACTGGCATGCCTTGAAGATGTGCCCATCATGTATTTGTAAGCCAGTTCCCTTTGCCTTGGGGCTTCCTACAGGGAGCTCTTCTGGGCTATTGTAAATATATAATCTTAATGCTGGGGGCAGCTGAGGGAAGCAAGGGTTGGGAGGGGCTTGCTTTCCTAGGCCAAAGACCAAGGCCAGCAAGCTATAAACTATCAGTTATGCGGAGCTTCTAATCTTGGTTTATGGCTGTCCGTAGGCTGACAAACCTCCCATCCAAGAACAACAAACACAGAAGCAAGACATGCAATAGTACGTGGATAGCTGCTGGTGGTACTTTTGGAACTGCTTAGGAAATAACTTGGAGAAAG